CTCTTTCTACCAAGGATAACCCAAGAATAAATCCCAACTCTGGAAAGCATAGGATACTTTCAGAGGGAGATGAACTTTCTCTGCTTTGAGAAAATGAGTGTGCCAGATGACATATGTTCTTGTACTTGCACACGTATACACATTTATCACTGTGCAAATTCTTCCTCTACGTTACAAACGAGTTCTGCCCCAATTGATAGTCATTTAACAGAACAAAATAACCAAAATGGGCAAAAACCGGTAGCTCCTGATTTTGGCCATTCTCAATTTCTATATGCCTATAAGAAATGCAAATTTTGCATTAAGACATTTTTGCAGTCGGTGTGTAGGAGTGTGGGAGAAATAGGAAGCCGACAAGTAATCAGCATTGGCTTTGGCCCAGGGTACAAGAAAGGAATGTCGCTTTGGTGTGAGTCAGGAGGCAGTCCCCGAGCACGGCGCCCACCCAGGGACACATCATACCCCACAGGGTGTGCCTCAAGGCCAGAAGTATGCATCGAGACCAAGATGCAAATTAGACATGGAGGAACCTTAGAAAGCTTGGAGCCTCTCTTGTGTTTCATATCTTGGTTCAGAAATAAAATAATCTTTGGCCACATCTCCTCACTGGTTCTAACGGCTGTTATCCTTTTACCAACTCCGTGAGTTTGAGTAAAACTAAGGGCCCCAAAATTTGGATGTTCTCATGTAGATAAAGCAGCATTTTAAAAACTGGCATGTGTTTCACATTGAAAACCCCCAGCCTGTGAGGGGCTGGTGGAGAAGGCCACCATTTTAGCTTTCTCACATTCAGTCTAGTGTGTTACGGAGGTCCCAGGGTCACGTTTACAGGAGCCCCAGGTGGGGGTGAATAGAACAGGTGATCTTTATACTGAAATTCACTTTCGCTTTACACAGGAACCACCAGCCAGCCTTCAGAGAGGACATGCAACTCCGGCGGGGCAGGCTAGGCTGTGCTGCTGCTGGAGCAGGGGGTGCTCTGCGTGCTGCCGATGCTGTGGGCTGCGCTGCTGTTTTCCGAGGCGGGAGGGGAGGTGGGCACTTGTTGGATTCCGGCTGTCTCCCCTGCAGTTAAAAAAAAAAGGAGGGACACAAGAAAAGATCTGTTACACAGGTGCACTCCTGAAACACACTCCGCCCCTCGCCAGTCGACCTGATATTTTCCTCAACCACAGGCAGAAGCAATTGGGTCCTTATGCCATACGTTTTTTTCCGTTTGTTGTTCTTTGTGCATGGGGGTGAAGAAGAAGATGATTTTTCAACGGCTTGACAGGCAGTTATAGTAGCTAAGACCTCTGACAGTTGATGACAAATCCCCTAGATCTTTTTTTTTTAAGAGAAATTTTTGCTATAGGGTGTGTGCACTCACTGGAGAGTCAGCAAGAAATCACTGCAATCCCTTCTACTCCACCCCTCTCTCGGGATCTTTGGGACGCACACACATGTGCCCAGTGTGAGGTTTAAGCCAGCGGGTTCAGAACTCGAACCACGGTCAACTACATGGGAGTCCAGCGATGTAACCATTACACCATCTACTGGTCCCCAAGCCCCCTGGATTTTAAGCCTACAATCTTTGAAGAAATCACCAACCTCTGGTCTACAGGAGCCAACTGACCAGCACCTGTATTCAGGAACCACTGTCTACCTTCTCTGATAAAGATACTGTAGGAGTTAGTGGGTGAGTTCTTGAAACTGTAATAGGAGACCCTTGGTAATTTAGGGGCATTTTCCTGAATGCAGTTGTTAGAAACTGCAGTGGTGGCCCCGCCTGGTGATACAGCTGGTAGTGAACTGAACTTGGAGTGCTGGAGGCCACATGGCCTGAAAACACAACTGATGTGTGTGCGTGTCTAAGACCCTGACAGGGTGGAGGGCCAGGTGGCCTAAAAACACAATTGATGTGTGTGTGTGTCTAAGACCCTGACAGGGTGGAGGGCCAGGGGAAGGGAATTACACATGATGAGCTCATCAAGAGACCTCCCCCCCCACACACAAAACTCTCTCATGAGCACATGACCCTTATCATGAATGAACTTAAAAAAGAAAGAAGAAAGAAAGAAGGAAGGAAGGAAGGAAGGAAGGAAGGAAGGAAGGAAGGAAGGAAGGAAGGAAGGAAGA